CTTTACCTCTTTGCCTTTTGGCTGCGTGCAAGTGGGTCCTTGTGACACACGGGGATGGGGGCAGCCAGCGCTCAACCTGTCATCCACGTGGCTGGCCTTGTACGTAAGAGGTTATGAACAGGTGGAGCTTTCCTTACCTCCTTCCCTTTCCTTTTTTCCTTTTCCTTTTTTCTTTTCCCTTTTTTGCGCTCTGATTCACAATGTGACAATATATAGATATATATCGTCACATGAATATCAGAGGGCAAAGGCGAAAAAACAGAAGAAAACAAGAAAAAAATAATTTGTTTTTTTTATCTTCTTTCTTACAACTCCCCCTGTTCAGAACGTCTTGCGTACAAGACCGCCCACGTGGATGTAGGTTGAGCGGCGGCTGCCCCCACCGCCGTGTGTCATATCGACCCACTTGCACACAGCCAAAGGGCAAAGAGGTATATCCCTCCCTCCCCCTTCGCTTTTTTGACCTCTTCCCTCCTCCCTCCATACACCATCCAACCTCTGCATTCCCTCCTCCTTTCTCCCCTGCCTCATCCCTACTTCTCCCTACCTCCTTTCCCGTTCCTCCCGGCCTCCTCCAGACCTCCTCCACTTCAACCTCCCTCTGACCTTCCCCCAACTGGCCACCGCCCTCCGCTTCTTTCGCCCAGTCTCCGCCTGACCTCCTCCTTCCCCCGATCTTCTCCCTCCCCTTCCTCCTCTGCCCGATTCGCATTGACCTCCTCCTTCCCCCGGCCTCTTTCCTCCCCTCCCTTCCTCGGCCCCATGTCCACCTTGACCTCCTCCCTCCATTCCTCCCTCCGCCCGATGTCCTCCCTCCCTGACCTCCTCCCTGACCTCCTCCCTCCATTCCTCCCTCCATTCCTCCCTCCGCCCGATGTCCTCCCTCCCTCCTCCCACCCTCCTTCCTCCCTCCTTCCTCCCTCCGACTGCCCTCCCTTCTTTTTTTGTAACGCCAGACCTAAGAGGTGCATTTCATTTCCTTTCCTTTTCTGGTGGACGTCTGGGCTGCACAAGCACAAAAAAGAGAGAGGGAGCAGTGAAGAGAGAGAAGGAGACATTTTTCCTCACACTCTTCCTCCTCCACATCCTCCTCACGCTCTTCCCTCCTCGCCGGTCTCTTCCACCACCCAACGCACGTCTCCCGCCTCCTCAAGCTCTTCCCCTTTAACATTTCTCCCTCGCTCTTTGTTGGCGGGCTTACGATTAAGCCTCTATCTGACAGTGGCCACAGATCTGTCGAAACCCTTCCAGGTACATCGTCTCTCTCTCTCTCTCTCTCTCTCTCTCTCTCTCTCTCTCTCTCTCTCTCTCTCTCTCTCTCTCTCTCTCTC